CCCTTGCCTAAAGGACATGTGTCCTCTCAAGATTACTCACTGTACTGATTGTATCTATAGATAAAAATTCCAATAAAAGCCTAGCGAGGCAGGCATTTGGGGCTGCCTGGCTTCTTCAGCCGGGCTGTCCCTTAGCCCTCTCCCCCACAGTGAGACTGTGTCAGAGTAATCTGTTCATCCGTCGTTCAGGGGCTGCTGGTCAGCCCCGGCAAGGTGGTGCCCCATGTGAGGAGCCCTGGCATGAACCGATAAATAAAATGTGAGATGATTTTATTTATTTATCCATTCACCTATTGAAAACACTTAGGTTGTTTGCACATCTTGGCTATGCTGCATAATGCTGCCGTGAACATGGGAGTGCAGATACCCCTTCAAGATCCTGTTTTCATTTCCTTTGCAGATACACCCAGAAGTGGGAATCCCAGTGCAGTTTAATCAATTCTAAAACTTCCATGTCATGCTCTTCTTTCTCCCCACCAAGGTCAGTCCTGGCCCAAGAGACTTAGAGGAGAAATGGGGACCTGGATGCCTCTTTCATTTCTCCCCTCTCTCTTCTGGGGTTCCTTGCTTCTCTCCATGTTGCCCTAAGACTGGCCTCATGGGTAGAGCACTGATTTGAAAGGTTCAAAAAGGCTCAAACCAGCTGTCTTCTGAGGGGTCCACTCAACATGAGGGAAACTCATCCCTCCTGGTCACAGCTGCCCGGCCTGCCACTGTCTTTACATTGCCCCCCCATCCTGCTTACATAGGCCCTGAAGACTGATCAGGCTGCCCAGTGGACAGCTAACTTGGAAATAGATGCCACTATCACCTTCATGAGGTTACCAGTCTCAGGTGTAAACCCTCATTGGGGTTATTGTGAGAGGTAAGGAAGATTCCCCCTCCTGCACTCCCCCATCCCTCACGCCCCACATCACCTCAGAACTATAACTCATGAGTTTATGTTTTTAGCTGGTGGAGGTGCAGGAGGGAGGTCTGACCACAGAGCAGTTCTGCTACCTTCTAAGTCTTACAGGAATTTGTTTTTCAAATCCTTCCATTCTTTTTAGAACATGGGGAGGGGAGTAGGAGGATGGGGGCGTAGTATTTGTTGTTTTATGGTATTAGACTTTAGCCACAATTGGAGACAATAGGGAAAGACTTTAGAGAACCGGCTATATTTGCTTTGCAGATTCTCACTCTTCATCACAGGCACACTTCAAAATGAGTTTAGACTTTCAGACTTTATTTTCTCAAGCCTCAAAACTTCTTCCCCAGACTCAACTGGTGACCCTGCTTCCTATTTCTGTGAGGGAAAAAAGGAACAGTCAGCAGAAAGCAGTTGCACACTCCCGTCACCACCTCTGCCCATCCACCTGCATCTGGGTCCATAGTCTCTGGCTTCTCTCCTGACTGTGAATGTTGGTGTGTGAGTATGCAGCGGGGTTGAGAGTGGGGGTGGGGGGGGGGAGAGATGGGAGGAGAGAGGGATGGAGAAAGAGAGAGGAGGTGAGAGGATAAGAATGAACAGGGGAAAGAGATAAGAAACTTAATTATAAGCACAATATTACAGAAGTCAATAAACATGATCTGACACAGTATACATTGGTCATGCTTACCAAATTAACATACATAAACTGCTATGTGATGGTGCTTCACTTGCTTGCTTTGTTACCTAAGATTGCTAGATGTTGTTTAGCAGTCTTGGCAATATGTATCTTTTTAAGATCTACAAAATTAACATTGGCCTCATCCATCCACCCTTCTTCAAGCTTCTTCAACCACCACATTCTCCATTTATTTTTCTTTATCTCTCCAGGGCAAGTAAATGTGCCCCCCCCCGCCCCCCCCCCCCCCCCCCCCCCCAGCCACAGAGCTCCTGGGAGTGTGGGGAGAGGAATGGAAACTCTGATTTCACAGTCATCCAGCCCACTGGGTTAGCTCCTTGAGGTGTGGCTGCTGGAGTCTGGTTACAGATCCAGAGGTCATCCAGAGGTCATCCAGACACACGGCATGGGGGATAGCCTTGCCATCCTTTTTTCATCTTCGGGGTTGGTAGTTGAGAAAGTGACATGTAGGGAGTAGATGAGACTGTTTCCATTTGGAGAAGGAAAAAGAAGAGGGGGAGAAAGAGTTTCCGTATGTCTGGCAGTTCACCACAGCCCATTAACAGAAGGAGAAATTAGGCTTAGAGAAGTCTCCGTTTGTCCAAAGTCACACGGCTGGATGAGATGGAGCAGGACTGTTTGTGTCCAAAGGCTTTTTCCTTTGCACACCCTCCACTACACTCTCATTATTAGCTATAATTAGATTTTTTTTTTTCCTTCTAAAATTCAAAGCCAAAATGAAACCCAAGAGTGAGATGTGCCCTCTCTTCACCTTCCCACAACTAGGAGGTAAAGTCAAGAGGAAAGCTAGTTATGGGCTTGAGACCCAAATTTTGGACAAGGCTAGGGATCGGGCAGAGCTGAGACCAGGCAAAAACGAAATGGAGCCTCTTTCCTCTCTTCTCTCCTCAAAGAGCCTCCTTTCCTCTGCCACCGAGGAGACCCCGCCCAATGCCTGGGTCGTGACGTGGATTTCTCTTGGTGCTCGGTTACACTTGCCTCACTTAAGATTCCTACTCCACGTTTATGGGCATCGGTATCATCATGTGTACGAGCTGGGTGTCCTCAGGCCAGTGCCCCCTCAGGGTCTCTGGGCTTGGAGCCCATGCACTTTCAACTATAACAGCCAAAGAGCGTGAATCTTAAATGGGGTTGTCTGGAGAATGGGGGACAGAATCAAAGGAAGAACCCTTAGTTTTTTCCGGATCTATAGAGCTGCAAATAGAGGTTTATACTTTAAATAGAGGGCCATGCTTCAAACTAGTGTTTTCTGTCATTTTGGATGATATATGAACAACCATCCACCATTGTCAATGCCAGTGGGTGGAAGTTATAGAAATAAAAACTTGAAATACATATTAGCACAGGTGGGAAGCGGGTATGGCAGGAGTGGGGAAGGTAGAACCTGAATGAATGAAATTGGAAAACATGACCTTGAACACACAAATGAATCTCCAGCAGGGTGATCTCCACTGGAGACCACTTGAGGGCAGGCAATATTTGGGAGTGAGATGGGATTTCTGGTGTCATTCCACACCAGCCCTGAATTCAGGAGATCGATGTACCATGCCTTCCCCGAGCAAGTATTTCTTGAGCAACAACTAAGTGGCTGACCTTGTGCTAGGCACTGGGTATACCGTAAGAAGAAAATCATACCAGAATTTTGCCCTGACATTCTCCTTGGGGAAGACAGACCATACACCCTGACTGGTGTTCTCTCAATGTCTCCTGGTAGAAAGGTCTCTATCCTCAATTTCGAAAATATGTCACCCTACTTCCTGTGTTACCGAACTAAATGGGATCGTTTGCCTGCATGCATCAAAGTCCACTCAAATGTGAACGGGAGTTGGCAGCAAAGAAAGTAAAGGTTTCTTTAAGGAAATGGCACCAAACCCTCCCTCATTTGACTTGTTGTGAGGTAATCTCTTTCTGGTAATTTTCGTCCTTCCCCCTCTCCTTCACAGGTGTCAGGCCTGCATCACAGTCTAAAGCAGGGGTGGGCAAACTTTTTGACTTGAGGGCCACAATGGGTTCTTAAATTGGACCGGAGGGCCGGAACAAAAGCATGGATGGAGTGTTTGTGTGAACGAATATAAATTCAAAGTAAACATCATTACATAAAAGGGTACGGTCTTTTTTTTTTTTTTTTTAGTTTTATTCATTTCAAACGGCCGGATCCGGCCCGCGGGCCGTAGTTTGCCCACGGCTGGTCTAAAGGCTCCCCCTACCTTCTTCACTTCCCTTACTCTCCACAAGTGTTATTCCCAGTAATTCTCATGCCCGTCTAGTCCCATCTTGGCATCTGCTGCTCTGAGGACCTGAACGGATGCACCTGACTTGGTCTCTGACATCGGGGCAGCCTTCAGTTGAGGCCCATTTGTTGCCATGCCCCTTCCTGGGAGCAGCACCCTTGATCAGTGGGATCATAAGCAACAGGAGAAGCAAGGGCTGGACTCTCCCAAGTCATTGTATCCTCATCTTCTGCAGGCCTGGCCCGTCCACGTTGGCATGGTACCGATGCCTCTTCAGGGAATGTTCTGTCTGGTGCAGGGGTTCAGAGCACACACTCACTTTCCCACAAAGTTCGATACTGGCCCTGCTGGTGGGTTCTCTGCCTCATAGCAATGTGTTATAATTTAAGGATCTGGGCAAGCGCCCTGCCCTTCCTCTTCCCCTAAAATACCTAGAACCAGCTCTCTGTGGTTTCTGCCTCTCCTCTGGGAGGAAGAGGCCACAGGGTGCCCTGGGAATGCCCTGGTTCCAGGCTAGCTCTGCCACTCTAGCAGCAGGGTGGCTAGAAGGCCATTTTCTTTCTCTGCTATTCAGTTGCTTTATTTGCGAATCAAGAAGTTGAAGACAAAAAAAAAAAGTTGAACATCTCTCCCTAGAGACTGAATTTCACTTCTAGCCCCAAGACTCCCCGAAAGGCTAGTACTCTCCAGAGGCAAACGTTGTCTTCTTCCATCCTGCCCATTAAACGCACACTAAACATTCACTGTTAGCTCAGCTCTGCGGCAGACACCGGGGATTCAAACATCTACAAGAGGTCTTTGCCCTCACATTGCTCAGAGCCTCCCTAGGGAGACAAACATGTCCACAGATAATTCCAGAACAATGACGGTTTTGTAATCACCGAGAGATGAAAGACTTCTGCTTTGGCTTTTACTAACATTTTATAATGGGAAGTGGGAGAGGGGCAGGAAATAGTTTTCTGATGACGGTTGGCTCAGAGAGGAAGGACAATGTGTTTCAATGTCCCCCACTTTGAAAACAGAAAAGTGTATTTATTTTCATTGAGAAGAAGAAACCAAAAAAAACGGTGGAGGTTGAACCATTAGGGAGAGCTTATTTTTTTCTTTGACAGGTCATGAGGCTAGTTAACGATTACCGAGACCCACGTGGGTGTTTGGTGTTCAAAACTGTGAGTGGCTGGGTTATGTGATGTCTTTGGCATCAGGGTCGGCTTTACCCGAGCTCCGAGAGTGGGCTCAGCCATGCACCCAGGCCTCCGGGACAGCTGCTGCTTCTGGGTGTGGGGGCTCTTTTTGTGGTTCAGCGTTGGAAGTGCAGGTAAATCGGGGACTCAGGCCTTGGGTGGGATGACTCAACCATTACGCATGCATTGCTAGTCCTTGGAAGGCCCCCTAAAAGCCCTTTCTCCTGAGATGAATTTACAGGAGGGAGAAAAAGCCTACAATCATAATGGGAATGTAATCTTTCTCAAGCCAAAAGGTTGAACTTCCCTAGTGGTTCTACTCATTTTTTCTAAAAACCTCACTGCTCATTTTCACCTTGCATAAGTCAAAGTGACTAGAAGAAAATAAAATTTAATTAATTCCAACGTGTGATTCTTTTTCACCCGCTAAATATTCACTGTTCTAAGATATAAAGTTTCCAAACTAATGACTCTGTCTCTGAGCTTGTTAGACATCCTTTTTAATATTGCTGCCCCAACTCAAATCCAGGCTTATCTCCCCTCTGAGCAATAACTAGCCCTGGCCAACGGGGGTGCCCGCTAAGACAACTTCCCGCAGATGCCATTTGCATTCTACCTTTCCCGTTAAAAACCCCACCCACCGCACGCTTAAGATAGCAAATCGAAACCCTACTGCGGAGATCCTCTGATGGTGAAGATCCTAGCCTGCCCCCAGCAGTGGCCTCACCCTTAGAAAGCTCCCCTCCCCTGGGCCCAACAGCAGACTGCTTTTATTCTTCTTATTTTTTTGTTGTTAATCCGCATCCGAGGATATTTTCCCCAATGATTTTTAGAGAGAGTGGAAGGGAGGGGAGAGACAGAGAGAGAAAGAGAAACATCAGTGTGAGAGAGACATATTGACTGGTTGCCTCGCAAAAGCACCCGGACCAGGGCTGGGGATCAAACCTGCAACCGAGGTATGTGCCCTTGACTGGAATCAAACCCAAGACCCTTCAGTCCTGGGGCAATGCTCTAACTACTGTGCGCCCGGCTAGGGCTCCACAGACATTTAATCCTCATTCCCCAGTTTTAGAGAGTGGCATTCCCTCTGCCTGGAGTTTTCGTACTACCTTTTCGTTCATTTCAGCTCTTCACAACTTCCAAGAGGGCTTTCATGATCCCTATCTTCCTTGCAATAATACTTCATTCCTCTACTCAGCTTTCCTTCCTCCTCCAAAGTTCAGCTTGCATGAGTATATTTACTATCTGCATTAATGGGTTGCTTTTAAAGGGTGCTTCACGTGTCATTTGTGTGTGTGTGTGTGTGTGTGTGTGTGTGTGTGTGTGTGTGAGAGAGAGAGAGAGAGAGAGAGAGAGAGAGAGATCCTTCCATGTCAATATACAGAGCTATTTTGTTTTTTCAAATGGCTGTTTATACACTATATTCTAGATCTGAAAGGATTTATATCTTACACATTTTTGATAGACATGAAATAAATTGCCCTGTAAAGAAGTTATAACTCTTTTTTAGTATGTGAACAAACCATTTCCCCACATCTCTGCCAACACTTTGTAATATTGAAAGTTTTTCATATTGTCAACAGGATAGAAAAAATAGTATTATATTGCTGTCTTAATTCTTATTTCTTATTATGATTTCTGCTTCTGGTGTCTTGCTTAAGCAATTATCCTATAAAGGTAATCTCTCATATTTTCTTCTAAATCCTACAGACTAGTCCAATCAGACTAAAATCACCTGGGACAAATCCTTTGGTCATGGCATATTTTATTTTTTAAAATTCTTTATTGTTTAAAGTATTACATATGTCTCCTTTTCCCCCCATTGATCTCTCCCTAGCCATTCCAGCACATGCTCTCACACCCCACCCTACTGTTTGTGTCCATTGGTTATGCTTATATGCATGCAAGTCTTTTGGTTGCTCTCTTACCCCCTGGTTGGACCGTCTGTTCAATGCTTCTATGTCTCTGGGTCTATTTTTGTTCATCAGTTTATGTTGTTCATTATATTCCACAAATGAGTGAGATCATGTGATATTTATCTTTCTCCAACTGCTTATTTCACTTAGCATAATGCTCTCCAGGTCCATCCATGCTGTTGCAAATGGTAAGAGTTTCTTCCTTTTAACAGCAGCGTAGTATTCTATTGTATAGATGTACCACTGTTTTTTAATCCACTCATCTGCTGATGGGCACTTAGCCTGTATCCAAATCTTAGCTTTTGTAAATTGTGCTGCTATGAACATAGGGGTACATATATCCTTTCTGATTGGTGTTTCTGATTTCTTGGGATATATTCCTAGAAGTGGGATCACTGGGTCAAATGGAAGTTCCATTTTTATTTTTTTGAGGAAGCTCCATACTGTTTCCCACAGTGGCTGCACCAGACTGCATTCCCACCAGCAGTGCATGAGGGTTCCTTTTTCTCCACATCCTCGCCAGCACCTGTCATTTGTTGATTTGTTGATGATAGCCATTTTGACAGGTGTGAGATGGCACCTCATTGTTGTTTTGATTTGCATCTCTCCAATGATTAATGACTTTGAGCATGTTTCTATGCTTGGCCTTCTGTATGTCCTCTTTCAAAAAGTGTCTATTTAGGTGCTTTGCCCATTTTTTGGTTGGATTGTTTACCTTGGTTTTGTTAAGTTGTATGAGTTCCTTATAAATTTTGGAGATCAAACCCTTGTTGGATATAACATTGGCAAATACATTCTCCTATGCAGTGGGCTTTCTTGTTTTGTTGATGATTTCTTTTGCTGTGCAGAAGCTTTTTATTTTTGATGTAGTTCCATTTGTTTATTTTCTTTTTAGTTTCCATTGTCCTAGGAGCTGTATTGGTAAAGATATTGCTATGACATATGTCTGATATTTTGCTGCCTATGGATTCTTCTAAGATTTTTATGGTTTCCCGTCTTACATTTAAGTCATTTATCCATTTTGAGTTAATTTTTGTGTATGGTGTAAGTTGGTGGTCTAGTTTCATTTTTTTTTTTTTTACATGTATCTGTCCAATTTTCCCAGCACCATTTATTGAAGAGACTGTCTTGACTTCATTGTATGCTCTTGCCTCCTTTGTCAAATATTAATTGAGCATAGTGGTTTGAGTCGATTTCTGGGTTCTCTGTTCTGTTCCTTTGGTCTATATGTCTGTTTTTGTGCTAGTAACACGCAGTTTTGAGAACAGTGGCTTTGTAATATAGCTTGATATCTGGTATTGTCATCCCTCCTACTTTGTCCTTCTTTCTCAGGATTGCTGCAGCTGGTCATGGCATATTTAAAAATTTTTTTTAAAAAATTTCAGACTGTACTTCTTTTTTCTTTTTGTTTTTTGGTTAATTCTCACCAGAGGATATTTTTTGCCATTGATTTTCAGAGAGAGTAGAAAGGAAGGAGGGCGGGGGAGAGAGAGAGACAAGAGAGAAACATCCATGTGAGAGAGACACATTGATTAGTTTTTGGGCCGGACCAGGCCCAGGGGTCAAACCTGCAACCCAGGAATGTGCTCTTGACCAGGAATTGAACCCATGAGCCTTCAGTGTGTGGGTCTGTACCCTAACCACTGAGACCACCAGCCAGGGCCAGACCATGCTTTTTATTTTAATTTTTTAATTGAATTTATTGGGGTGGCATTTGTTAATAAAAGTATACAGGTTTCGAATGTATATTGCATTGTGAGTTTGCCACAAAGTCATATTTTCCATCCTTCCATCATATTTTTTAATACAATGTTGAATTTGATTTACTAACTTATTTTTGTACATATTTATATTTATTATTTTGCATATATATTAATAGAGGAATTTATCTATTATTTTCTTTCTTATATTTCTTTTGTCTGGTGTTCATAATAAAGTTCTTATCTATATATATAAAGAGCCAGGGGCCATTGCAACTGAACAGATGACCGAATTGACAACAGAACAAGGCCAGCATGGGGGTTAGTGAGGGACGACCAAATGACTGAACAGCAGGCTGTGTGGGGTGACCAGGCCGACAGGGGGGTTAGTGAGGGATGACCAAACGACCAAGCAGCAGGCTGCGTGGGGCAATCAGGCCAGCAGGGGAGGCAGTGAGGGGTGACCAGGCCAGCAGAGGGGAGCAGTTATGGGCGACCAGGCTGGCAGGGGTGCAGTTGGCAGCAACCAGGCCAGCAGTGGGGGCAGTTGGGGGCAACCAGGCCAGCAGGGGGGGCAGTAAGGGGTGACCAGGCTGGCAGGGGGGGGGCAGTTAGGGGCAACCAGGCCAGCAGAGGGGGCTGTTGGGGGAGACCAGGCTGCCAAGGGGGGCAGTAAGGGGCAATCATGCTGCTGGGGGGGGGGGGGCAGTTAGGGGTGACTAGGCTGGTGGGGGAGCAGTTGGGGCCTACCAGGTTGGCAGGGGGTGGCAGTTGGGGGCAACCAGGTTGGCAAGCAGAGGCAGTTAGGAGTGATCAGGCTGGCGGGGGGGGGTGGTGGTGGTGGTGGGGGAGGCAGTAGGGGCAATCAGGCAGGCAGGCAGTTGAGCAGTTAGGAGCCAGCGGTACCGAATTGTGAGAGGGTGCAGGCTGGGCTGAGGGCCACCCCCCCGCATGAATTTCGTGCACTGGGCCTCTAGTAACCTCATAAAAAAGTGTCTAGTCCCTGAGACAGTTTATATAAGGTAAAGAGTATCTGTACTTCAAAGGCTTGTTGGAGTTCTCAAATGAAATCATCTGGCATTAGTATTTTAGGGCGAGAGAAGATTCTTGATTGACAATTCAATTTTTTTATGCTAGTATATTTATTTAGGTTTTTCTATTTCTTCTTAAGTCAGTTTCAGAAAATTATATTTTTCTAGAAAATTATTCATTTTTTAATAGTTTTTCAATGCATTTGTCTGGGGATTTTTAAAGGATATCTTTTTTTTTTTTTTTTTTTTTAGGTGATAAAGAGAACGTTTATTTAACTAAAGGAATAAAAGGAACACTAATAAAAGTTTAAATACCTAAAATGATATCATTTAATCATTAATACTCTGCTGTTTAATCTGCCTAGTATAGATTTATTTATTTATTTAATCTTGGTCATTACCCTGAGTATCATTTTATTTTATTTTATTTATATTTTTTATTGATTTTTCACAGAGAGGAAGGGAGAGAGATAGAGAGTCAGAAACT